CCGAAGCGGCGGGGCAGCGCGTGCAAAAGGGAGGAGCGCGAGACAGCGGAGGAGGAGGAGGCTGGCTGTCCGGGCAGCAGCAGCAACAACAGCAGCAGCAACTCCTGGCGACGGCCTCCTCAAGCCGCCGCCGCCCCTCCTCCGCCCGCTCGCCGCCACCACCACCACAGCCGCCACCGCCTCAGTTGCCGCCGTCCCTCAGTCCCCTCGCTGCTGCTGCCTCCCACCCCCAAAGCTTGGAGGTTCCCCGGCAGGGGGAGGGAAAAACTTTCACTTTCGTGCGTCCCGGCTGACGTGACGGCTGCGTGGGCGGGGCTTTAATGGTGTGGTTGCCGCGAGATTTTTTTTCAGTAAACAGGTGTGCCGTTGCCCAAAAAAGTTTGGGAAACACTGATCTAGAGAATTCATGTGCTGTAGTTCTGGTCCATTCGAAAACACATACAGAAACCACCGTTTCTGTAAAGTGCTCAATGAAACTGGTAGATGTTGCCATTTTGGAATGAAACAGACACACAATGTACAACTTAAATAGGCACACTAATCCAAGATGCATCACTCCTACTGCATCATTCCCTATTGCTGATGACTTTGTTGACAATTTGAAATCCACCATGAGAGGAAAGACAGTCTTCGTTCACTGGAGTTCCAGCAAAGGTGACTAACATTTAAACTGTAAACCATACGTTCAAAATTTGGAGTCATTTTCAGAAATTCAATTAGTATCTAGTATGCCTCAAAATAATCTGTCAAAATAAAATATGAATGTGATCAAACAAGTACATTAATATATACCATATATAAAATCTTGAATCCCTTTCTCCAATGGAAGGAATTTCCTTTTAATAGAAGAAGACATCCTTCAATGAAGAAAATAGAGGAAGCTGCTTTCATTGAAGGAAGGGAACACTTGGATCTGATCCATATAGCTCTTTTAAAACACACCAAAGCCTGCATTTCTATAGCAGTTGTCCAATGCAATGTAAATGGGCAAGTTGCCAGATGAGAGGTGGAACATGGGGTGGGGATATTAAACAAGCTACCTTCGGGACTTCCGGAGGCGGCGCGAAACCGTGATGGCGGTCCTCTTCGAGCTGTGAAGAGGGGCACCGCAGAAAAGGGTTGGTTCGCTACGGCACAGCGGCAACCCATCAAGATAAACCACGGGCAGAGTGAGCCCGTGGCCGTGGGACTCGGCGGGCACCTGGAGCGACCCTGAATTCGCGGAAGGAACCCCGTAAGGGGCTCCGGAGTGAAGGAGGGGGAGCGGTGCTGTGAGTTCATCGCTCTTTCTGCGGAGGCGAAGCCGCGCGGCTGTCACGGATGAGCGCCGACCTTTCTTCCTGAAAACATCTGGCTGAAACTAAAAACCCGTGAGTAAAGACTTGAATTTTGGCGGAATAAACTTTAAAATTTGGCTGAAACCGGGAGACGAGAAAAAGGAAGTCCGTCTTCCGGCGCTGCTTTAGATCAAAGCAAAGGACAAGAGGAGCGGAAAGCGCTGTGAATAGGGAAGCTTTAAAGTGGGATTTTCATGCACTTTTGAGCTTGCTTTTAAAGAAGAAATACAGAATTGCCAGTAAGTAAACCCTCAAAATTAAATTGGAGTGGTCTCCTCGTTTAAGGGTTTTTGAGACTTTAATTCCAAACCGTCGGACTGCCGGGGGGGAAACTGTTTAACTGCGGAAACTGTTACAAACTTCCAGATACTTTTGGATTTTAAAGTGATACTTTTGAGCCAAATCAGTTTGGACTGGATACTGTTGCAGGCACCTAGTTGGAACCTTGTTAAAGTTTGAAAGTGCTCTGCAGGACCCTTTTATTTAGTGCTTAGGGACTATGTGCTTTTAAAATTGGAACAATAGGGATTTTAAATGGCGGAAAATCCTCCTTCTTCCTACTGATTTTGGTGGCACTCCCCCTAGAGGATATTGAAATTACAAAGGCCTGGGAATAGCTCTATTTGTTTACCTTCTCTCACTGGATTGTTTTTAAATTGGACTTGCCTTTCCCATGGGACTTCAGTATCTGACCTTGAACATTGACTGATGAGTGGCACGGGAAAGACAAGAGCAGCTAAGGCTAAGGAAGCTAAGGAAAAAGAAAAAGAGAAAAAGCAGACACAGCTAGTACAAACAACTTTGACTCAGGGACGCAGATCATCGGTACCAGCTGTGTTTGAGACACATAAAGTAGAAGTTGAAAAGCCTAAAAAATCTGAAGAGGAGGATATGGCATCAGGAGGATCAGAGGCAGTCCTGAAACAAATTTTGGAACAACTGACAGCTCTAAATCAAAAGGTAGATAACCCAATCAATAAAAATTGACCAAGCTACATCCTCGATCCAGAAATTGACGGACCAGGTTTCCCAACACACACAAGCAATTGAAAAATTGCAAGGAGCAACAGAGGAGAATCGGAAATTGGCTGGGGAAGCCATTCAAATAGCAACGTCTGCCAAGAAAGAGGTCGAGGAAGTCAAAGCAGAAGTTAAGCCTCTGCATAAACAGATTGGGGACCAGCAAGCCTATCTCTCTTTGGTGGAACTGAAAAATCGCGAGACCAATCTTAGATTAAGAGCAATCCCAGAAATTGAGCAAGAAAGCCTGATTGGATTTTTGACAACAGAATTTTCAAAGTTCTGGGGCATAAAGGAAGAAAGTGATTTTAAAATAGTATCGGCCTTTCGACTGGGAAGATTAGTAAGAAAGGATAGATCCAGGGACTGTTTGATAGCCTTAAGATCAAGAGAAGAGAGAGACAAAATACTAGGCCTACACTTTAAAAATTCACTGGAGATACAAAACAAAAGGGTGGAAATTTACAGAGATATACCCAAACAGCTACTGGACTTGAGAGCCACCTACTCAGAATTGGCGAAGTTGTTGAGGCTCAACGCAATTCCTTATAGGTGGGAATTTCCACAAGGCCTATCATTTACTTACAAACAGAAGAAGGTTAAAATAAGAACCCCAGAGGATTTACAAAAGTTCCAGCACGACCACGGTGAAGATCTCCAAAAAGAAGCAGCAGCACATTGGCCTCTACCTCAATCTGGGCCTATACTGCCTGGAGGAGGAGCAACGCCTACACCCTCGGGACCAGAGGACAAAGAAGATACACCACTCTAGCTGTAACAAAATAGTACAGGATGTCTCTGCAGCTATCAGTTGGAATATAAATGGCGGAAATTCCCCGGAAAAGAAGGAAATATTTCACATATTGAAGAAAGAACAATTGGACATCATTTGCCTACAAGAAACTCATGTGACCAGGCTCCACAGGAAGTTTAGTCAACAAAAGACTAGGCCAAGAATTTATCTCATCAGACAAGGTCAAGAAAAGAGGCGTGGTGATCTATGCCAAGGAGAGCCTGGCACCAAAATTTATTTAAAGATGAACAAGGAAGAATTTTGGCGATTGAAATTCAGACACAAGGAGAAAATTTTGATTTAGGAATATATGCGCCAAACGATGGGAAATCAGAATTTTTCAAGAAGCTGCATGAGATGTTGCTGGACTATTGGACTACAACAACATTATAATGATGGGGATATGAATGGAGTGGTGTCTACACATATGGACAAGTCTCAAAGTCAAAACTTAACATCAGACGGCAGACTGCCCAAAACTTTTTTTGAACTGACTGAGAACTTGGACTTGATCGACATATGGAGGACAAAGAACCCCCTAGGTAAAGAAGGAACTTTCTTCTCTGAGGTCCACCTG